CCCCGGGCCCGGGCGGCGCTGGAGGCCCGATTCCCACCTTGGCTCGGGCCGCAGCGACCCGGCCTGCCCGGAGCAGAGCGCAGCGCCCCACGGGGCTGCCCCTCTTGGGCAAGGGCAAAGGCTGAGGCTCCCAGGGCAGGAGCCAGCTGGAGCACAGCCCCTGCCTGCTGCCAGGCTCTGAGGGACAGGACAGGACAGGACAGGACAGGACGTGCTGGTGCCCGGTTTCCAAGCAGGTCTAATTGTTTCACCTGCGGGGTCACGTGGCACAGGTCTCTCCTTGCAGCCCACAGTGGGCCGAACTGGGGCACCCGCACCAGACCCGTATCTCCATGGGTGGGAGCAACAGGGGAGCCCAGCAGGGCTGGGAGCGCCAGGCACCAGAGAAGGGGGCAGGACCAGGTGCCCCCGAGAGCAGCGCGCTTCTGCAGCCAGATTGGGAAACCGCTAGCTGACAGCATCCACACGGGCAAAGCGTGCCCGCGTGCCCGCACCCCCAGCACTGCCACGCGCTCGGTGCTGGGACCAGCCGGCACTGCCGGGGGAGCTCACAGCACCCTTGGCCGTGGACCCGCAGCTAGGCCAGCTCACGCCCTGCTCAGGCTGCGACCTGCAGGACCGGCTCTGCCCAGGCCCTCCAGGCAGGAGCGCGTCTTGCTCCTGATGACAGCGCAACACGGCTGCATTGTGCAACGTGCAGGTTTGCTCAGAGCCGTGCCAGGAGCGCAGCAGGGCGCGCCCAGCCGCCACGGCCAATTAGCGCGGGAGCTGGCAGCTGGCTGAGCTGGCTCCGCGCTCCCTCCCTTCCCGGGGGCCTGCTCCACAGCGGGGCTTCTTGTGGCCGAGCCGGGCCACGCCAGACCCTGCCACCAGTGACTTGCCCTCGGAGGGGCAGCAGCCCTCGAGGCCTCCGTGAGCCAAGCCCCCTGCCCCCGGGGAGCTTTGCCTGGGGGGTATGTGGACCCCACGGCAGGCCACACGCCCAGGCTCCTCTCCAGGTGGCCCTGGCACCAGGGCCCTGCTCTCCCCGAGCTGAGGGCAGCCCCCGGCACCGCTCTCCCGCCCCAGCAGGGACGCGCTCACAAAGGACGAGCCGCAAGTGCCGGCAGCTGCCTGTGAAACAGGATCTCCCCAGGCAGGCATGCAGAGCCCTGGCCGCGCGCCAGGCTGCGATGGCGCTGCGCACCTGCCCCAGCCCTGCAGCTGCTCTGCGTGCCGGGCCCAGGCCCCGTGCTCAGCAGGGGCCACGCGAGCCTCAGCGTCGGCTCCTGCACGTCCGCCATCGCCAGCTCGCTCGCCCCGGGAACCCCGAGTGACAACGCCACTCATGCCGGGGCCAAGGTGGCGCTGGCAGTGCCAGGCAGGCCCAACGCTGCGGGCTTCCCCAGCAGTGCCTGGGCCCAGCACCACGTGCTTGCGCCACAGTGCCGACCAGGCCCAGTGCTGCGAGCGTCCCCAGCAGTGCCCTGTCCACGCTGAGGACAGGCCCACGTGCGCTGTAGCAGGGACTTGGCGCGCGTTTCGGCCGCCGGCTCCCGTGACACGGCGGGGCCCTTCCAGCGTCCTGCGGGCGCGGGGCAGAGCCCCCCACCCCTGCCCTGCCCTGCCGGGAAGCAGAAGCCTCTTCCTCTCTTCCAAGAAGGGCAGGAGCGGGACGGGGCTCGCGGCCCATGACGCAGCCCCGGCCCGTGCCCCGGTGCCAGGCTCCTCCCCCGCACTGTCGGGAAGCGCCCGGCCTAGTTTCCTGCCTTGCGCGGAACCGGCTGCGGTTGACACCTGGTGCCCTCCGGGACCGACCCCACGGGGCCACTCTCTCCCACTTCCGCAAACTCTATCCCCTCCTTTGACCAGAGCCCTCACTTCCGGTCAGGTGAGACGGGACCGCTGCCCTCTTCCGGTTCCGGGGTGAGAGTTCAAGTGCCGTCGGAGTTGACTTCCGCCTTGGCTCCTCCGCTGTCCCCAGCTTCCGGTTCCGGGTTCGGCGGACAGGAGCGGGTCTCGGTCTCGCTGTCGGTGGGTCCCGGGCGGGGCC